TGGTCATAGGGTCCATACCCTCTTTGACACTCAAGGAAGGCAAGGGCTCCTTTGCAGCATTTGCTTCAGCAGCTTCATGCTTCAATGAACCAGCAGCTTCAAGCTCATCTTCAAACTTCTGGTTGATAGCTTCCAAGCTTTCATACTCTTTTTGCTCATGGCCTGCCTTGCTTTTTTCAGGATGTGCAGCAAGGACCTGATCAAGAGCCTGCCAAAAGCCTGTTGCTTGATGATGGGCTCTTTCTCAACAGTGGTCCATGCTGCATGAAACATCTTCTCCATGTCGCCCAAAATGACATTGAACTTCTTGTTCTTCAGCTGCTGTATGTCACTCTTGGAAAGGAGTCTCCCAAAGCCATCAGAAACCTTGCTTCTTGGTGAAAGGAAATTTGTCACTGCCATTGCAAGCCTTGTCAGGCTGAAAAGATTGGTCTTTGAGAGCTCAACATCAGTAATGGCAGACCAAAAGTCTTTTCCCAAAGAGATTGACTTTCCCTGGGATGGCACAAATGATACCAGAAATGCCATCAATGGGAAATCAGCACCCCCTCCTCCATAAAGGCGCACAAACTTCCCTAGGGTTTCAGCATAAGCTGCAATAGGGCCTGCAGCAGCTTCCTTAGCTATGCTTCCAAAATCAGGTTCTTTGCCAAGCTTGGTCAAAGAAGCAGCTCTGCTGGCAATGGTTGCCAGAAGCTCTTGCTCAGAAACAGCTTCATAAGCTTGGTTGGTGGAGTTCAAGGCTTTTTGTGCCAAATGTGGCAAGGAAGGCCACTCTTCCTGCAGCATGGCCACTTGGAGAACTACATCACTTGCCCAACAGTCTAAAATCAGTTGTGCATGGACAAACAACAAATGTTTTCATGGTGGTTTCTCTTTAATGCATATACACTAAGTTTGCTACAATTCTGGCCTCAACAGACCATGGAATGACCAGCCACTTCCACACCTCTTCAATGATCTTGGCAAACTCATGGTCATGAGAATGCAAAGCAGCTGACATTCTGCCATTGGCATCCATCAGCTCTGCAATTGGAGACTTGCAGCCTGAAGCTATAGCCTTGCAAAACTGGGAGAAATGAGATGATGACACTGAAAGGAACCTCTCTCCTCCATGGGGCTTTGCAAAAAAATCTTGGTGAGCCTTCCAAAGGCTTTCACTGCAAGCTGTTTGAGCTGCTCTCTTGGTCATACCAGGATTGATTTCAAAGCAAGTTGAATTTTGCAGCAAGGTTGGGTCACAACCTGCTGTCAAAATGATCTGGCCCTTGGCAAGAGCATTGTGCACTGAAATGCCACTGCCACCTCTGTTTTGGCCATGCACAAGCATGTCCTGGACCTTGATGGTGGTATAGTAGCAAATCTTTTTATCCAAGAAGTAGCCACAAAGGGCTTTCCACTTAGCCAAGTCACCCACATCATGCTCCAAGATCTGGTTCACTTCAGATTTGATTTCTGAAGTCAACATTCTGCAACAACAGGTTCAGGAAATGAATCACAGCAATGTTTGAGCAACCAATGCTTGAGCAATCTAGCCAGTGAAGGTTTGACATTTAACATGTCTGACAGTGTTTGCTTTCATAACTGAAAATGGTAGCAACAAACACATAACCAAATGAACCTGCAACCTGCGTGCAGCACAACTCTTTGGAAACTCTCTTGAACATGACAGTCAAAGCATTCATGTGTGCTTGCAATGCTCCTGCTGCAATCTAATTATTTAGATAAATTTGAAGTTTGTATATGTCAAGTTTGTTGCTCTCAACAATGTCAATGCTTCATGTCATGGCACACACATGCATGTTGTACAATTGTTCTTCAATGTATGTTGTTGCATCAATGCACTGCACCTTGACAAAAGCACACACTATGTATATAGGTTATTTCATTTATACAAAAAATATTTTACTTATCAAATCAAAACAAAAAACAGCTCCAAACAATATAAAATTCACTGTTCCAAAACTTGCTGCTGGCATTAATTAAAATACAAAGCAACAAACATAAAGAATGAATGAAAAACAATTAATCAATATAGCTAAGCTGTTAGCTATTTGATAGCTAAGTACTTAGCATCTCCCTGCCCTAAGTGTTTAGTAACTACTTAACTATCCACATAATAAGTGCATAGTAAAGGGATAGCAAAATGCATGACCACTTAGCTAACCACTTAGCTAACCCAGCTAAGCATTAAGCTATCTCCGCCACCATTTACTATCCATGGTTCGGAGATAGCTACACACATAGCAGACATATAGGAGATACATCTGACATAGCACTGACATAGTGCAGACATACCACAGAGATAGCACTCTGATAGCAAGTGTCCTAAGCCCTATAATCCTTCAGCGACCCCAGAGAACATCCAAGTGCCGCATCTCCGGCGTTACGTGCGGAGGCCGGCGGTCCTGCCGCCAAGTGTCTTCCTCGCGCCAAGCCTCCTCCCAGCGGTCCGGCCGCCAAGCCGCCAGCCACCCCAGTTGCCGGCGTCGTTCCAGGCGTTGTCCTGCCAGACGCCCCAGCGGCCCTGCCGCTGCCAACCTGCTTCCTGCGCTGTGTCCCACCAGCGGCCCTGCCGCTGCCAAGCCGGCTCGTGCTCGGCCTCCTCCGCCCAGCGGCCCTGCCGCTGCCAAGCCGGCTCGCGCTCGGCCTCCTCCGCCCAGCGGCCCTGCCGCTGCCAGCTGCCCTCGTCCGCCAAGCGGTCCTGCCGCTGCTCCCAAGCCATGCGCGACGCGTCTCGAATTGCTGAGCCAACACTTCTGCGCGTGCGCGCGGGTGGTGCCTTTTTGTAATTTCGTATGTTATACACGTTTTGCTAATTTTCGTCTTCAAAGATCGCACTTTCTCTGGAAAAAATAAAAAATAACTTTCAGTAACTTCCGGATAACACGAAAAAAATTGAAAATCAATACTCTGAAAAACGCCAGTAAGTTATTAGTAAGTTATATCTTCACTATTACTTTAAAAAAAATCCGTTACTTAGTTATCCGGAACTTAAGCAAGCTATAGTGCTCTATAGTGCACTATAGTGAACTTGTACTTCATCTTAACTTCTACAACTGCCGGGTCTCACCTTGTAGTAGAGATAGTGGGCAGAACCAGAGCAAATCTCCCAGAAGTGGAACTTCTTCTTCTTGTGGTGTTTAATGTGGTTCAGCCATTCGAGACAGTTGCTTGGTGTGACTGGGCGTTTCTTGATGCGAGTATAGAACTCCTCTGGAACGGCCTTGTAGAACTTCTTCCAGTAATTCTTCTTGGCATCAGTGAGATGCTCGGGAAAGTGATCGTCTTCATAGGCCTGAAGTTCTTCATCCATGAAGATGTAGTCATCGTTGTCGGCGATGTAGATCTCCTGAGGAAGTTCATTCAGACTCTTCATCTGATGTGCCGTATTCGTGTCAGGAGCTTCATTCTTGGCCATGAAGATGGTCATGCCGGTCCACTTGTGGAGCATCATCTTCTGAGCGCTCTCTTCATCAATCCATTCATCATAGATCTCTTCTTTAGTGCCGTTGTCATAGTGCAGAATGGTTTTCCTCGCTGGCTGGATGTTCTTGAGCTTGTCTGGGAATTTGCCAGTCTGCGGGTTGAAGAGAGCTTGCCGAAGTCGGACATGATGGCGCACCCATTGATTCCCATTCTTTTGCCAGTGATCTCGCTGCTGGTGCTTGGGCGATGGTGTGCACTCTTCATCTTCTTGCTGTAGATCTGGGATCAGTGGTTGTTGATCATAAGGATTTTGATTGTGCAATGGACCTGGAATCAGCAGTTGTGGAACATGAGGATCTTTATCATGCTGTGGTTCTTGTATCAACGGTTGCTGATCATGAGGTTTGAGTGCCTCTTCTTCACTCCGGTCATGTTCTACGCCCTTGGGCGCCATTGTCTGCACGGTAGTCTGGAAGCAGTATTTGTAGTGACTGCTGCAGTCGTTCCAGCGATCTTTGGCCTGATGTTGGACTTGCTCAACGAAATGGATCGCTGTCTTCTGTGCAGATTCACTCACAGGCTGCATGTTCTCCATCGGGATGATGAAGTGTCCAGAATCTGTGAGAAGCAGCCTGATCATGGTTGGTTTCTCTGTCGAGGGTGTAGAGGAGGAGTGACACACGAGAAGGCCATCATTGTTGTCGAAGAAGCTCCCATCGCTCGAAGGCTAGGATTGCCAATGAGCGCTGGACAAAGAGAGCCTTCTCCTCCAAGAACATCAGCTGAGAATTGAATGGGATTTGAATATCTTCTTTGGGCATTTTGGCATGCCGCACATGTAAAAT